AGACAAATTATTGTTAATTTAAAAGGATTGATTAGACATTTTCCCCTCATTTTGCTTTCCCTAGGCATGGCAATTGTTTCCAACGGCCGGTGTCTGTGCATCGATGATGGAGTGAACTTTATTAAGCCAGCAAACATTGAGAAGATTGAAGTGCATTCACCGAGTTTTTCATGCCAGAAAATGGAGATCATGTAAGGATTATAATGCTTCCCTTAAAGCTTCCCTTAAACAAGCTAAAGTGCTTGTTTAAAAATTGCATGTATTTAAATCCTCGTTTCCATTCATGTGTTCCTCTCTTTAGTGTCACAATGAAGAATGGAGAGGAAAGGAAGTGTTTGAATCCAGAGTCCAAATTCGCTAAAAATTTCATCAAAAACTCCCAAAGGCAAAAAAGGTATCAATTACAGTGCTCAAATACAGTAGTAATTCTTTCCTGCTTTTTGCAGATTTTGCTTTTCTTTTTAAAGGTTATTTTTGTAGGCCTTGCTATGTAAATGGTTATTTCAAAGAACTTAAGTATCTGTATTGTTTAAATAATCACATACTTTGCATAAGGACTGGAATGCACTGCAAGAACTTCAAATATATTCATTATGTTTCAGGAGCTTGAAGAGAACTGGAGCATAACGACCAAGCATCTCCTACACTGAACCACTGAATTTGTTCAAATGCACTTCTTGAAAACAAAAATAAATGGGCATTAATGGACGTTAAACACTTTTAAAACAAAGAAAAAATACATTTTACGTCTTACTGGACGAGAAAGCTAAAACTGTTAACCTTTTTACACTAACTTGGAAAATTCCGTTATTTTTGCATTTCTGTTTTTTACTTGTATTTCTTTCAAATGATGGATTCTTTGTGTTGATAAATTTATTGTGCAGTTTCACATTGTAATAGTTCATTCACATGTTTGAATAAAGTGTATTTACTATTTACCTTAATGCTCTTTTCCCTTTTTTACATCGCGAATTTGCCTTTGAGTCAGATGGATGACATTAAGACTACTGTATGAATACAATAAGCTCCTGGCTTCAGTGTAGAACAGTGGAGAATATAAGCAATTAACCTGGACCTGGACATTGAGCATCAGCAATGTACTATGTATGCTAATCAGTGGTAAAACTTACTGATCAGGCCGGGGGCAGGAATGCTGTCAGTACAATTTTCAATCTGGGAGAGGTGGGCATAGCGCCAGCAGATTGGCCAAATTTAGCCAAGTTTGTACCAGTAGCAGCAGTTCTGGGGTCATAATCAGGCCCTACTTCCCCCTCCCCCACTTGGTCTACTGGGGCAAGGGGAGTCATTCTACCCAAACCAACTGGTTGTGTAAGTCCCCCATGACTTTCCATTGCATCACCCTCGTCAACTGGGGCTGCTGTCCGATAAAAGACCAGCGGTCAATATCCCCTATCAGTCTTTGGGGGAACTCCACCTTGGCACCCAGCATCCCCTACTGTCACCTCCGAGTGGGCCTGGGGATGTCGGGGGACAGCCTGTAATGGAGCCCTTACTTCTGGACCAACCTTGCCAACAAGGCACTGAGGACATGCTGCCCCCCCCCAATCTGCCACATCTTGACGCATCCTGCATCAGAAAAACCTTTCCCTAAGTACTGACAACATCTGCTCTGAACTGGCATGCCCCATACGGTCATGATAGTCCTCCCACAACACCTTAGCCTGCGCCCTAGGTACAACTATATGAAAATTAATAATTTACCCAGGACCTTCTTCCTGCTGTTGACGCTTCAAAATACCATCCATCAACTCAATCTTAGACCACTCCTTCAAAAACAACTTCAAGCCTGGAGAGACTGGACTTTATTCTAAAAAGGAAGGGTTCTGACCTTGCTCCTTCCAACAATACAATCTGCCTCAAGCCTGAGTCCTGTTGCTGCAACTCACCCCACCTCACTGCCTCGTCGCTTTCTTCCTCATCCAGACTCTGGGTTGCAAGCCGCACCTGTACACCACCTTGCTCTCCAGGCATTCACGACAAAATGTCTGCATTCTGTTTAATACTGCCAGGCTGATCCTTAATCGCCAAGTGATAGTTTGCCAACTGTGCGGCCCAATATTGTTCTGTTGCCCCCAACCAGGCCGTCTCCAAATGAACCAAGAGATTACTATCTGTTACACCTCCACCTCTGCGTCCCACAAATAATCGTTAAACTTTTCGGCGATGGCCCACTTCAAGGCCAGCAACTCCAACTTAAAAGAACTATAGTTCTGATCATTCTGCTCTGAAAGATGTAAACTGTGGCTTGCATAGGCAATGACCTGCTCCTGTCTACCTTATACCTGGGCCAGCACTGCCCCCAAACCCTCCAAACTGGCGTCGGTATATAGACGGAAGTGCAAACTAAAGTCAGCATAAGCTAATATTGGAGAATTCACTAAAGCCGCTTTAAGTTGTTGGAAAGCCTGCTCGCACCATTCTGTCCACTCCACTGGGGCAGTCTTTGAGCATGAAGCCGTACACTGCAACAGGTGGGTCAATGGGGCAGCAATTTTAGAAAACCCAGTAATAAACCGCCGGCAATACCCCGCAAAACCCAAGAAGGACTGTACCTGCCGAACGGTTTCCGGAGCTTGCCACTCCTTAATAAGTGCCACTTTTTCTGGGTCTGTCGCCATGCCATCCGCACTAATGACATGGCCAAGATAGGTGACTTGCCGCTGAAAAAAAACTAAACTTCTTAGGCTGCAACTTCAACCCATAGTTCTGAAACCTCTCAAATACTCGCTCCAAGTCCTTAAGGTGGTCCTCAAAACTCGAGGAAAACACAACTACATCGTCCAAGTAAACAAGTAAAGACTCATTTACTAACCCTCCCAGGCACTGCTGCATAAGCCTCTGGAAGGTAGCGGGTGCGTTACACAACCCAAAAGGCATGCTCTCAAACTCATTCAGCCCAGGGTAGAAAATCACTGGCCCTTCCGCAAACTTGTCAAAGACTCCTCTATGCAAGGTAGGGGACAAGTGTCCTTATGGGTTACAGCATTAAGCTGCAGATAATTGACACAAAACCTCCAGGAGCCATCTTCTTTACCAAAACTAGAAAAGCACAAGGACTAGAGCTTTCCCAAATCACCCCCTTCTCCAACATCCCTCGCAACAAGTTTTTTAATTCAGGATATAGTGTGGGGGGTACTGACCAAAACCGCTCCCGACTCGGTGGAGCAGTGCCTGTGGGAATCTGATGCTTTACTACCCCAGTACACCCAAAATCCTCCTCATGTTCTGCAAATACAGCACGCCATTTCCAGAATAAGCTATGTAGCCAACGGCAACTCTGTGCCTATTTAGTCAAACTCAGCAGGCCACACTGAAATATCACTCTCCACCGGACCTACCTCAACCTCCACCACCCCAGGCCCGGCTTCCCGCAAGATGAGCTCCCTTTGTGCTTGAATATCCTCAGCTGTAAGGATGAGAATTACAAAGACGAAGGGGCAACTGCCCACCAGACACCTTAACCACACATCTTGCCATTCCTTCTCCTGATTCTCTTCTGGCTCCACCAACACCATGCAATCGACTGAAGGGCCCCCTGCCATCACGGTGCCCCACAGTACTACTTCGGTCTGGGGGGGATACATACAGGCTACATGTTCCACTCTATGGCAGATAGCAAAATCTTTTCTCCACTCACTACTCACCAACTCCGGTCCTGGAGAGCTACTATCCAGTAAGTTTTCTATCCTACCTGGCTTCTGATGAGCCACACCTGCTCCTGGTATTTACCTGAGAACTAGTGTGGCTCATTAGAAGCCAGGTAGGATAGAAAACCTACTGGATAGTAGCTCTCCAGGACCGGAATTGGTGACCCCTGGATTAGAGTAATCAAAACATGATAATGAGTTAAACTACTAACTGAAAGCAGTAACAACCTAAGCACAGATTTTATTTTGTTTTATAGCAGCCAAACAATAGTGAACAAAAAAAAAACATCCCTACGCTTCTAAACATAGTGAACAAAACCATTCCATTTCTAAATATAGCAACCAAAAAAAGTTCCCAACCTTCTCGAAGAACTAATAATTGAATTGATTTCGAATTCACCAGGAGACTTTGGTGGATCTAGAGCAGGGTTATTCAAATCACGGTCCTTGAGGTCCAAACACTGCTGGTTTTCCAGCCTTCCTTTACCTGTCAGTCAGGTGTGAAGCCTCTGACCAATCAGAATCAGTAATTATTAAACTACCTGGGAGAACTGAAAACAAGGCCTGGATTTGGAATCGAGGTCCAGATTTGAAGAACCCTAATCTAGAGTGACATCATTTCTGGCCACACAGTGGACTTCCTGCCTGTCAGTGGATGTACATCACAGTGCATGTTTGCAGCCAGGCCTTTCTCTTTGGGTCTGCTTTTCCAGATCTCTCCCAAGACAAACAGAGGCAAAATACACAATCACCTTGGGTACCATTTGATTTGGGGGGCGCAAAAGACCAAGTGAAGAAATTCTGAAGAAATACCTCTGGGTGCATTCTGTGACATTATATGTATAATAGTTTTAATATTTCACTGCTTTTCTTGTGAAACAGATGTGAGCTAGCTAATTATGCAGCACGCAGTTACTGTGTGCCACTTAAATGTTTTTAATATATATTAACTGAAGGAATTTGTTTTCTGCTGCTATAGTGAGGGGGTAGCCCAGCAGAATCTTGCCTAGGATGCCAGAACACCCAGCCCAGAGCCGCTCCTGGGAAAGACAATGACTATGGATCATTAAGAAATTCACCACATACTTGCAAACTTTGTTTTGCCTAATGTTGCAAAACCTAGACTTCAGGTGTGTTGGCCAGGTATTTTGGGTCATTTAATATACAGTATATCTTTGTTATGGCAGCAGTTAATGTATATCCAGTCAATGGTGGTTCAGGTCTTATGATCTTCTGGGCTGACTGTATAGGTCCACCTTTGTACCAAGGTGAGGATAGTTTCAGTGCACTGAATTTGGGCTTTTATACCTGCAAGCTAATTTTTAAAAATGTTGTGTGTTTTTAATCTGAAACACTTAAGAGACCACTTACTCTGCTGGTGATTTTCTAACCCAATGACTTTATTTTCTATCTTAACTATAATATTTAATGGTTCCTACAGAAAATTGAAGATAAAAGTAAAGCATATGACACAATTACTTTCCAGAATTAAGGATATGTACACACAGACAAACACACAAACTTTCTCTTTCTGATACAATAAGTGTTTCCAAGAAAGGGGAACCTATATAATGATCGAATCTGCAGCGTTATCTAAGGGAAAAGTCCCTCACTGCGGAAGCTCATGGCTGTTCACACATGCTCCTCCCACCAAGTACAAAATAAATATCTCAGAATCAAACATTCATTCAGAACATTGTCACTCAGCCTACATTGCTGACCTTGACAGAGAAATCATGAAGTCGCCTGCTGTCATCCTGATTGCCTGTGTGCTTCTCTCACACGTTGAAGGTAAAGAATTTATAATATTACAAGAATATTCACTGCCTACAATATTTAGTTTACATATATGTGTATGATGTACTTTGTTGTGATTATGGGGAGAACTATACAAGACAAATTCTTGTTCATTTAAAAGGATTGATTAGACATTTTCCCCCCATTTTGCTTTCCCTAGGCATGGCAAGTCCAATTCCCGGTGACCGGTGTCTGTGCATCGATGATGGAGTGAACTTCATTAAGCCAGCAAACATTGAGAAGATTGAAGTGTATTCACCGAGTTTTTCATGCCAGAAAATGGAGATCATGTAAGGATTATAAAACCTCCCTGAATGCATCAAGTGCATGTTTATTTACATGTATTTAAATCCTCATTTCAATGAATGTGTTCCTCTCTTTAGAGTCACAATGAAGAATGGAGAAGAAAAGAAGTGTTTGAATCCAGAGTCCAAATTTGCTAAAAATTTCATCAAAAATTCCCAATGGAAAAAAAGGTATGGTGCTCAAATACAGTAGTAATTGTTCCCTACTCTATGCAGATCTTATTTTCTTTTTAAAGTTATTATTTTGTAGGTGTTACTATGTAAATGTCTGTCTTGCAACATAACAGTGGTGGTTATTTCAAAGAACTTAAATGTTTGTATTCTTTGAATAATCACACGCTTTGTATAAGGACTGAAATGTCTTGCAACACAAGAGCTTCAAATGTATCCATTATGTTTCAGGAGCTTGAAGAGAACTGCGGCGTAAAGATCCACAAGAGCAACACAAGAAGCATCTCCTGTAACAGTTATTGGCAGAGGACTAAATTTGTTCAAAAACATTCCTTAAAATCAAAAATAAATAGGCTTTAATGAACATTAAACACTTTTTAACAAAGAAAAAAATGCATGTAACATTTACTGGTATCGAAAACTAAGAATGGAAACCTTTTACCTTTACTTGAAAAATTAAAAACCATTCCGTTATTTTTCCATTCCCATTTTTTACTTGTCTTTGTATTATTTTCTGTATAATGTAAAATTTTATGTTTCAAATTATGTATTTGCTGTGAATGTGTTGATAAAAAATGTATTGTTCAGTTTCACATTATAATTGTTCACGTCTAAAAATAAAGTGTATATTTACCTTAATCCTCTTTCCATTATGTTTTTAACATTGCAAACTTGTCATAAATCGAGATGGTTGACATTGAAAGTTTGAATATAATAGGCTTCTGGCTTCAGTATTACACATCATTTTATATTATATTTACACATATTTATATACCTTTTTCAGTTTTTTTAGTTCTCAAATTTGTCATAGAGCAAGAAGGTTGTTTGACTTTGAGTGTTAAAATAAAAAATATAGCAACCTTCTGGCTTCAGTGTCACTCTGTTAAGAAGATACATAATTAGCTTGCACTTCTTACAATTCTGTAAGCAGTGTTTCATTTTGAGCTGAGTATAATCAAATCAAATCAAATAGGCTTTTATTGTCAATTCCCTATATGTTCATAACATATAAAGGAATCGAAATGTAATACAATATATATATTAAATATATATATATATATATATAGTATAAACATAATACATAAGATAAATACGATAAAACTAAAATAAGTAAACCTCTTTAATGTATACAGTACAATATACAGTCAGTAGTGCAAAAACAGCATAAAAAACAGTCACAGTGATTTAAAGTGAGGAAATGCATTCTAGGGCAGCTTGCGGCTGAAGAGGGAGTGTAAGCTGTGCAACCAAAACTACCTGATACTACACATAGACTACCTACAGTATACTCTATGTGTCAGGAGACAGGCTAGCTTACACCAGTGCCCGGAGGGAGCTGAAAAAGGGCATTAAAGAAGCCAAGCAGAGATACCAGTGGCGCATTGAGAGTCACTTTGAAAACAGCAACCATCGCAGTATGTGGAGAAGCATCAAGACCATTACAGCCTCGCTGACAAATCACGATGAATCGCTTCCTGATGCCCTGAACCGATTTTTTGCACGTTTTGACACCCACAACAACAACGAGGGCACTCAAATAACTCATTCACCCAGGGAGGAGTCGGCGCTTGTTTTACAGCCCCACCAGGTGAGAATAACCCTGGGGAGGATCGACGCCTCCAAAGCAGCAGCACCAGACAGGGTACAAGGCTGCACACTGAAGTCATGTGCTATTAGCTAGCAGGGGTGCTAACAAACATCTTTAATCTGTCTCTGCAGGAGGTTATAGTCCCCACATGCCTTAAAACCACTACCATCGTCCCAGTGCCCAAAAAGCAAGCAGTCACATGTCTGAACGATTATCGTCCTGTTGCTCTAACACTGATTGTCGTGAAGTGCTTTGAGAAGCTTGTTCTCGCGCACATCAAGGCCAGCATTCTCACTGATCTAGACAGCCATCAGTTTGCTTACCATGGAAACAGGTCAACAGAAGATGAAATTTCAGTTGCACTTCATACTACCCTGTCTCATCTGGAGCAGCCCGACACATACGCCAGAATGTTATTTATTGACTTCAGCTCCACCTTTAACTCAATAATCCCTCACAAACTATTTACCGAGCTCACCAACCTGAGGCTAACCACCACTCTCTGCTCATGGATTCTGAACGTTCTCACCAACAGACCACAAAATGTCAGGGTGGGAAACCACATACTCTCACAATGAGCACAGGAGTACCACAGGGCTGTGTCCTCAGCCCAGCCCTTTTCACCCTGTTCACACACGACTGCACACCCATCCGCACCTCCAACACCATAGTGAAATTTGCAGATGACACTACGGTAGTGGGACTGATAACAGGAGAACATGAGACCCACTACAGAAAGGAGGTACAACACTTGGTACAATGGTGCTCAGACAGCAACCTTGTCCTGAATACATCCAAGACAAAGGAGATTGTTATGGATTGTTCCTGGAGCCAGGAAAATGACACCCCCCCCCCTCCACATAAGTGGAGAGGGTTAACAACATCAAATTCCTGGGGATCTACATCTCAAAGGACCTGAAATTGACTGTCAACACCTCTCAGTTGGTGAAGAAAGCTCAACAGAGACTTTTCTTCTTAATAACACTCAAAAAAGCCAGACTTCCCACTCAGCTGTTAAGTTCTACAGGAGCACAATAGACAGCATTCTCTGCTACTGGGCTACAGTGTGGTGCTGCACTGCAGAGAACCGCAGAGACTTGGCCCGGATAGTCAATATTGCGCAGCGGTTCGTGGGTAGCTCCCAGATCTGAACAATGTTTATGCTAGCCGACTATGTAGGGGGGGCACATTATGATGATGAGGGGTAGGTCTGGTATATTTTAATTTGTGGATCCTTGGATTTGAAAAGGTTGGAAAGCACCGCTTTAAGGAACTGGAGATTGACTTATCAGATTGAAACCAACACAGTGGACTTTCACTTTTCACAGAAATATTCATTCAAACAGGAAAGATGAAGGTTTCATCAGCCATTCATCAGCTCATATGAACAGACATACATCTGCAGTGTCGCAACAAGAGTTTCTGTAATATAGTAAAATAGTGTCAAGGTCAGTGCCTGACTTACTGGCCATCCTGTTTCCTCTTCTGTCTTAGTAATAAGTGTAGTTCATTGGGTTGAGGCTGTGGGTTGGAGACTGTTAACTTGCTAGTTGTGGGTTCAAAGCTAGTTTCAGGCCAACCTCATTTGTTTATTTTTATTTATTTGTTTTGTTCTCCAGTGTTTCTTGTTTTCTGTTCTGTTTTCCCAGTTATAGATTTGCCCTCTAATTTTCCTGTTTACTTCGGTCTTGTTTGTATTATTTGGTTCTGTAAATTTACCTACTATATTCTCAGAGTGTTGGTTAGTGTTCCCTAGTTCTGTGTTTCTTTATTGTCACACCTGTTACTCATTGTCCTGGTCCTTTTGTGATTGGTTTATTAGATTATGATTTATCCCTGTCCCTTGTTTGCCCTGAGCTTCTGTGTGTGTTTAACTTCAGATTCTTCTCTTTGATGGGTCATTGTAGTTGTGATTAGTTCCTGTGTGTTTGTTGCTCTGTTCTGGTGCTCAGTCCCGTTCCCTGTGTTGCTCAGTTCCCCAGTGTATTTGCTTTATTTCTTTGTTACATTCTTATTTCTCCAATATTGTTTCGACCCTGTTGTGTTCAGAATTATTAATAAGCCCCTTCTGTCTCAGAGCTTTTTTCCTGCCTGCCATGCTCCGCCATGACAAAAAGAAGAATGAACACTTATTCAAATAACTTAAATTTCCATCTATAATTCAAAAACTACACATTGATTTTCAAATTTGATATATAGCCGTCTATCCGTATTCAAAATCCAGTTTATGCAGCAGAGAGACACCTTGAACTTGCAGCCTACAAATAAACTCTGTTAGATGGGAGGTGACACAGATGTCAAAGGTATGGTGAATTCAGATGGTGAGCCCTTCCATTCACCTGCAGATTATCTAATAAGGAAAAGCAGCTTTCTGTTTGGCTGTTGACCCCACAGCGTACAGGTCTGCTCTTTGATACCTGGTCCCTCACCAAATAGACAGAAAATGGATTTGACGACAATCCTGTTTTCCTGAATGTTTCTCCAGCCATTTCCCTTTGCGATGTCCACCCCCCTTACAGTTTACAGATCTTCAGGTTCAAAGTATGATTGGGGCATAAGGAGGCAAATAATATCATAGCCTGCTTGAAATGAAATCCAGTATTTAAAAAACCACCATCATTTAATTTAATCTGAAATACCTTTAACTCCATTTCACCTCTATTTGCCTCCTTCAAGAACAAGAAATGCAGAAGAAGATCTAATGAATTGCCAGATTTTTACAATCCTGGAAATCTCCGAATTATTTTTTCAACAAAGCAACTTTAAGGAACACACTGATAATTTCTTGTTCTCTTTAGAAAAGCAGAACTACATCCAGTTTCAGTTTCTTAGTCTTATTCTTTTTTGTTATTTTAAAATTACTATCAATATTATAGATTTGTATTAATTAATTGTATTAAAAATCTGTGGCGAATGTTATGCTTCCCTAATAATAAGAGTCCAGGGGTGTTGGCCAAGGTATTTTGGCTCCTGTAATATATTTCTTTTTTATGGCAGCAGTTGATGTATCCAGTCAATCCAGTATATCCAGCCTTATGGTCTTCTGTGCCAATTGTATAGATCCACAATATTGTACATTTATACCAAGGTGAGGACACTTTCCATGGTGAGCTCACCCCCCCGCTTGCTTAGACAACACTTAGACACACTTAGACAACACAGTGAAGGCACTGGCAGGATTCTGTGAGAAATTGTCCAGCTCCTTTTGACTGAACTGCATTTTGGACTTTTTCACCGACAAAGTAATTTTTAAAAATGCTGTATAATTTTCATCTGAAAGACCAATTACTCAGTTGCTGATTTTCTAACCCACTGGATGTCTTCTATCCTAACTGTGATATTTAAAAGTTTCAATAGAAAATAAAAGATAAAAGGAAAACACATGACACAATTACATTTCAGAATTAAGGATGTTGTGGCGCAGCATCGCACAGGTGAGAATAGGTGACGGTCCACTAGAAGCTCCAAGACAAAAGGGGGTTTATTAAAGAAAACATAATACACTGGGGTAAAATACTAAACAAAGGGGGATTAGAACAAAACATTGGAAAATAACTAACAGAACCATACATACTGTACACCAGCTAAAGGAACTGGGCAACCACAGGAACAGGACTAGTCAAACAGACAGAATACTCCACACAATAACATAGGCACAGTAACTGACAGAAGAAGAGGACAAACGCAGGCACCTTAATACACTGAACACAACGACTAACAAGGGGCAGGTTTGGCTATACAGGACCAGAGGCAATGAGGAGCAGGTGAGGACAATCCAATCAACACTAAGGCCTAACACTAGGAAGGACTAATAACACAAACACAAGCAGAACAGAATTAAACCAGACACATGTATGATAAACCAAAACAGGGAAACAAAGGACTAATAAACACTTGGGGAAAACAGAAAACCAATCAACAAACAAAGCAGGTAAGGGAGGACTCAAACCCACAACTGCAGGGTTACAGCCTTTATTTCACATACTCAGACCATTCAGCTATGTAACAGTCCAAGGAGCTGCTGAAACACACTAAGGACAAGAGACCAGGGTTGGAGAACAGGATGGCCGGCAACACCTGCTGGCCGAACAGGGAGAGCACATAAAGGGCAGGGTTGGATGGTACAAACCCTGTCAAAGGATATGTATGCAGACAAACACCCAACCCAGACAAACACCCAAACTTTCTCTTTCTGCCACAATAAGTGTTTCCAAGAAAGGAGAACTTTCAAATCTGCAATTTCATCGGAGGGGAAAGTCCCTGGCTGCTCCGCCCACCAGGCACAAAATAAATATCTCAGAATCAAACATTCATTCAGAAGATTGTCACTCAGCCTACATTGCTGACCTTGACAGAGAAATCATGAAGTCGCCTGCTGTCATCCTGATTGCCTGTGTGCTTTTCTCACACGTTGAAGGTAAAAGATGTATAATATTACAAGAATATTCACTGCTTACAATATTTAGTTTATATATACAGTATGTGTATGGTGTAGTATGTTGTGTTAATATTCAGAACTATAAAAGACAATTACTTGTTCATTTAAAAGGATTGATTAGACATTTCCCCCCCCCCATTTTGCTTTCCCTAGGCATGGCAATTGTTTCCACTGGCTGGTGTCTGTGCATCGATGATGGAGTGAACTTCATTAAGCCAGCAAACATTGAGAAGATTGAAATGTATTCACCAAATTCTTCATGTGAGAAATTGGAGATCATGTAAGGATTATAAAGGTTCCCTTAAAACAAAAAGTTTACGTTTAAATATTACATGTATTTAAATCCTTGTTTCTATTCCTGTTTTCCTCTCTTTAGTGTCACAATGAAGAATGGAGAGGAAAAGTGTTTGAATCCAGAGTCTAAGTTTGCTAAAAATTTCATCAAAAACTCCCAAAGGAGAAAAAGGTATGGTGCATAAATACAGTAATAATTATTCCCTACTCTCTACAGATTTTCCTTTTCTTTTTAAAGTTATTATTTTATAGGTATGTAAATGTTTGTCTTCAGTGGAGGTTATTTCAAAGAACTTAAGTTTTTGTATTGTTTAAATCATAGGCATAGTTAGGTATCATTCAGGGCTATAGCTACGAGTATTTTAAGCTGAGCTCCAAGTATTTTAGCCCCAATGTCAATTATCCTCCTCGAGCCCCAGGTAAACTTACTGTATTAACTTAGCCTCTGATCTCCTCTGCTTTAAATAATCACATACTTTGTATAAGGATTTAATTGTCTTGTACCACAAGAGTGTCAAATATATTTAAGTACCAAATATATCCATTGTGTTTCAGGAGCCTGAAGAGAATTGGAGCATAAATATCTATGAGATCAACACAAGAAACATCTCCTCTAACAGTTATTGGCAAACCACTGAATTTCTTCAAATGCATTTCTTAAAAACTAGATGGGAAATAATGGGAAATAAATGGGAAATAATGAACATTAAACACCTTTTTAACAAAGGAAAAAGACATTTTACATCTTAATGGTACCGAAACGTAAGATTGGTAACCTTTTTCCAGGTACTTGAAAAATTAAAAACTATTCCGTTAGTTTTCCATTACTATTTTTTACTTGCTTTTTGATTATTTTTGATTCTGTATAATGTAATATTTAATGTATGTTTCAAATGATGTATTTACTGTAAATGTGTTGATGAAACATTTTGTTTAGTTTGTTCACATACAAAAATAAAGTATATTTACCTTAATGCTATTTTCCTTTTTTTTCTATTCATATTTGGCAAAAAGCAAGATGGTTGACATTGAAAGTATGAATATAATAAGCACCTGACTTCAGTATAACATGGCAGAGAATAAAAGCAATTAATGTAGACTAGTGTGACCACATGAGTCTAAACAGGAGGACACCCATGAAAACCTGTTGCTATCTATCGCTATACTCTCTAGAGTACTACGGCATAAAAAATTACTGCAAGCATACCTGTTCTCGGCTTCTGTAGTATATGTGTGCGTGTGTTTTACGTTTTTTGTGTGATTCGGGATTGGAGAATAATTGATAGGCAGGTAAGGGGGGAAGGAAAAAGGAGGACAAAGGGGTTAAATCGATGACACCCAAGAGCAGTCCAGACAACGGGCAGGAAAACTGGACTGTCCAGATGAAATCTGGATGAGTGGTCACCCTATAGACAGTTGACTTAGGCATATGTGCATAAAATAGCTTATAACAACACCATGCCATCAAATGCTGCCTTTGGTTTCGGCTATGTGTAGCTATGCTTGGGTAGTAATTTCCCCCTGGGATCATTAAAGTTAATCTTAGTCATAATCTCACTTAATTTTTCACACCATCATACTGTTCACTTTTAATGTGACCTATAACCTGTACATTTCATTTGAAAAACTAACAAATCTGTTAGGGGGAAATTATATATATAAAAAAAAATTACAATAAGCTTGTTGCATAAATGTTCACACCCATAAACTAATACTTTGTTGAAGCACCTTTCGATTTAATTACAGAATTCATTATTTTTGGGTAGGAGTCTATCAGCATGACACATCACAATGAACTAGAGATGATGAGGGTCAAAATACAACCAACGAGGGCTATATGCAGGGCAGGTGTGAATCATCCAGGACGGCCAGCAGAGGAGACCTCTGTTGGTCAAACAGGCACAGGACAGGACTGAGGGAGACAGGACATGGTCACATGACACTGTTTTTCATTGGGTTCAGGAATTTGGCTGCTTGTAAACCTTTACTGTCATTGCACATTTGTACAATGAAATGTAGTGTGAGATTCCTCCATGGCTTTAAAACACGTGTAATAGATACATAAAGAATAAAATAATTAATAAAAACTTCATATAAACCTAAATATATATTAAAAATATGTATTAAATATTTAAACCTAGATCATCAACCGTCATATGAACCTAAACATCTCCAACACTTCCATTACAAATTGTCCCTGATCACAGTCCAAAATGTACTGTAACAGGATTAGAATGAATAACAAAAAAAAAACACTAACAATCAAAGAATAAGTAAGAATGTCAGGTTTTGTAGTAGATAGAAACAGGCTTAACAGAGTTCAGTTCGAGTTTGACTCTTGGTAAAAGCTGTCCTGGAATCTGGATGTGCAGGATTTATGGACCTATATTGCTTGCCAGAGGGCAGTTGGGTCTTTCAGGATGTTAATTGCTCTGCGCAAACAGGGAGAACTAAAGGTGCCCCCAGTGATGGTAATGGGCAGCCGTTGATGCTCTGTGCTGTGTTTATAACCCTCTGAAGAGCTTTTCTAGCTGCTGCTAAACAGCTAACCAACCACACTGATTACAGATTACAGCTTGTAATGCTTTGGTTTGTTGCATACTAGATGATATGATCTTGTTCCAAATGTTTGAATAAATATTAATCTAAGTTTCTTAGTTCAATTCACATATATTTTTTTTCGCAGTTTCAAATGTTTATGAACTAATATCTGACAGTCAATTAGTAACATTAGAAAATAATAAAACAAGTCTGGGCTAATCCCTCCTGATACAGGTTTGGGCAGATTATTGCAAAATGGATTACAACATACCCAGAAGTATATAAAAGACTGCAAAATCATTTCATCGTTAAGCAGTTTGATGATGATGGAGATATCCTGGTCAGGTTCAACCATTCACATAGGCCAGCAAAATCCTTCCATTGGCCTGCAAGCAAGGATACTTGTTGGGAACTTCTTCAGGAAGTGCTATGTATTACTGACCTCCAACTACAAGAAATTGAAGACAGTGCTACCTGTACAAAGATGACGAAGGGAAACTCATCCATCACAAAAAATATGTGTGTGTGTTTGTGCATATGGTTTACACTACATTTAATGCGAAATACTTTTTTCAGAAATGCAGATGTAAGAGGAGGTAAGGAGCATGTGCTGACAGTAGAGTGCTGCACCCACCACACAATGAACCAGCTCAGGGATGAGAACCCAAGTGCAACTGTGTGGTGGGTGACACCTCAGCACCACATGTTCAAATGGACCAGTGTGAGTTTTTTCCAGTGGCTGGAATGCCAATCCTGCCACCAACCCCCAAAATTATTCCCTGTGAGCTGGAGGACCTCCTTATAGGGGTGGATGTAGATTAACGTCATACCCAGGATGAAGCAATTGCAGGTTAAACGCTTTGCTCAAGGGCCCAATGGAGTAGGATCACTCCTGGTATTCACAGGACTCAAACCAGCAACCTTCAAGCTGGCACTGATCCCCAGCCTCAGACCCACCACTCTGGCTGTAAGATGTAAGAAGACTGAATAAACCTCAAGATACCCACCACCCTTTAAAGAATATGCTGATAAGCTCCTGTTTTCTCTGGGACAGCAGAACTGCTTTTACTTTAAGATTTCAATGTTGTTGTTAATTAGTCTTATTTGTTTTAAAATTACTTTCCACATAATTTAATTTGTCATACACTGAAAAAAATAACTTGTTAGGTGAACGTAATAAAATTATGGAAAGAATTTCCACCTAAATCAAATGCTTTAATTTAGCGAGAGAGAATTTCCTTGACTGACCTAATTGTAAATATGTTGGGTTAACCTGATGTATTGGGGTTATTGTTAGTTAATTAACATGGTTCAGTCCAACTAAATTGGTATGGGTAAATGTGACATATTTACAAAAGTAGGATGTGACTTGGTTTTATTTGGCCATTTAAACTTGTATGATAGGGTTATGAGTTACTTAATTTCATTGGGTAGTTACGACTACCTTTTAAAATAATACAACGTGAGCATTAGCATTAATTGTGCTAATCCAACAAAACAAAGTTATGTTTATTCATCAGAAATGCTTTAGGCTAAGAGATGACCTTTGTAATCATAAGAAAATTAACATAATAGAATATTATTCAGAAAAGTGTTTATATAGTCATTCAAACATATGTTTATCTATAGTTTACCCCCAGCTGGTGTGAAGTTTGGAAAAGAAAAACACAAAGCAAACAGGATTTGTTGGAATAAAACTTTACCAGAAAAGGAAACACTGGTTTAGCGAATGCTAGAAAACATGTTGCTGTGAAAACACAACAAGCAGACTTCAAAGTCCTGCCGACTGTACATTGTCGTCTTTTTTTTTAAAAGCAGACAGACCAGCAAGAAAATCAGTAAAAAAAAAACTATACAAAAACAGAATGTGGTCCTGGCAATTGACTGCAAAGAAAAATGTTTGAGGACAAACTGAAAATATAGTATTGTGCATCCTTATACTGTGTCTTTTTCACATTCAGCACTTTAATATGCAGTAGTTTCCTTTTGAAAAGAACTTTTTTTCCTTTTAAAGAGACATTTCACAATATTATTCTATTTTCTAAACCAAAAATAGCAACAGTTGTAAGTAGTAAAACACAAACACAGCTTGCCATTTTATTTATACAATAAAGTGTTTAAATTATGAACCTGACACTAGCAGATGACTCCCTGTTCCTGCAGTCACTCTTGTTCGATGAAGTCAGATCACATAGAACAGGACACTTTCAGAGGAGGATGGCGAATGGAGGTGGAGACACTTGGAAGATGACACAGAACATAAATTTCTGTGATAAATTGAGAGAGAGAAAAGAGAGACATCAATTCTGTGTTATGTAATGACTTCAAACAATCTTAAGTAAGGGAGCTACAAATCTTAAAGGTTAACAACATGAATAAAATATAAACATATAATTTTCCCTTTCCTACTTTTAAGCATGTATTTCTAAAAAAAACTTTATACAGTGCTATTTAAAAATACAAGAGGTAAAGCAATACATATCTGCACTGAATCAAACACCAGCATTTCGCTCAGTGAAAATACAGTGCTGTCGTGTTAGTGGAACCAATTTCTCAGTAAGGAAAGTAGCTGTTGGCTGTCCTATTAGTCGCCAAATGATGTCATCACCTAATATGCATAACTGGCCACGTGTATGTAATAATTGGCCAATTGTAATGTTCGCTCTAGGAGATAGGAATAAAGTCGTGGGAGAGACAAAAAGGGAGTACAAAAAATAAAATAAAATAAAACCCTAAATATGTTTAAACTAGGGCTGTTGAGCGAATTACCAAATTACTGAATGGTGATTTATCGATAAGGTACATCTTAAACTGTGGTTAAGGAGTTAGTCATTTTTGTTATAATATCTGAAACGTTCAACACATAGGCCTACTATTCTGCCTCTGGAGCAGAATAATTCTCACTAAATTGTCTCTCATTCACACAGAGTAAGAGATATGGCTGCATACACAAACATTAGCGCTTATAGTATGAAATAGGGCAATATCTATGTTTTCACTCATTTATTCATCACCGTGACTACTTAATCCCAACTGGAAATGACCAGGGCTCGAACTCAGGACTTTCTTGCTGCAAGGCAGCAGCACTAACCACTGCACTACCGTACCACAATATTATTATACC